TGTGACTGGCACTTACATGAGACAGAACACCCAGGCAGCACTGCAAGGTCAGATTTTTTCACAGGCTTAGGACTACCTATGATTTTTATTGTTAGAACCCTGGCAGGACATCCTCCAGTAAAGTGAGGTAAGTGCATCAGGGAGGAAAGGTGTAACCAATGACAAGATCAGAGCACAAGATAGGAGTGGGTGTAGCTGAAAGCGTGAGGATTCTTTCCTAAACCACAAGGGACTATCATTTCAATGATATATTTCTAGCCAAACCATATACCACAGTTTAACAAGCAACAGAACCCTCTAGGTTGTCACAGTGTGTGAAAATATTCTACCATTTGTCATATTTCAATTTCATGTTAATCTTGAATCATCCTCACAGAAACTCCCTCATAACTCAAAGGAAAAACCTAGAATGACAGTAGAAAGATTACTTTGCCCAAGCACTGCTGAAAAGCAGTAGGGTTCATGCTGTGAGTTGTGGTAAAGCACATTGTTTATCTTTTCACTAACACGGGAAAACAAAAGGGCAATGATTGGTACAAAACCTGTGAAGCTCTTGCTCCCTCCTGGGAAAGGTTAGGTCTGTATACTGAAACCTCTCTGGAATCACTGCAGTATTCCTAACACCACTCAGAATTCACACACAGTAGCCTTTTATATGTTCAAAATCCTGTGCAGGTCTGAGTTGAAAAATCCTCAGAACTCTCTGGCAAAATGTGCCATTTTCAAGTGTTTGCTCATTTCAGAGACCAGAGAAGAAGCTGCACTATGTCAGAATAAAAGATCATGGCAGTGATTTTACTTGCCAGAATGATTCAGGGATATGCACAGGAGGCTGTGAAGCATGCTTGGTTGTGGGGGTTCTTTAAGTGGCCAGAACACGGTAGCTAACTGGAAGCAGCTTTAACTCTTAATAAGCTGCCTCAGACCACAGCATGTACTGGTCCTGGCCAGATAGAAGGATGTGGATTTATTCTTTATATAACAAAAGTAAAGTAACTAGAATTCACAAGCATAAACAGGAAAACATGAAAAAGCCTGTTTATCAGAAGCTGTCACCATTGCACCATGCTGAAAAAAGCTCTACATGAAAGAGGAAAAAAACACAAACTATGCTAAGAAAATGTTAAAAAAAAAAAACTAAAAAGAAAACCAACAAACCACAAAACAAAATTAAAAAAAAAAACAAGCTAGATCAGAATTCAGATGTCCACCATTTCCAGAACCAACCCAAAGACACCTCATGCTCGGCAAACACAATTAAGGACTCAGCATCAGCAGCCACTTTTAAAATAAGCCCAGGCCTGTCTTAACAAGTGAATTTTTACTGCTCTGCAAACTTTACTAAAGTGGATTATTTTGGCTTAGAACTGAATTAAATCCCACTGAAGACGATTGATCTGAAACAATGACCTTTCACTGTAGAACATGACATGAAAGACTTTGGGGATAAGACTAATGAAGTACAGAGATAAAACAAAATGCTTCTACCAACAGTTTCAAAAGCAGCCTCTTATTCTGGGTGCCCTACTTGAGTTGCTGTGTAAGTGCTTATTTCCTTTGAAAACGAGGCCCCAAGCAAGTTGAGCCAAGCATCCAGAACAGGAGACTGCCAGAAAATACTGGCCTTGAAGATGGATCTCCTAACGTTTGTCCTGAGTGGTTCTCAAGATATGCCCATTAGTTCTGTGATAGCCAGAGGAATCACCAAGGGGACTTAGAGCAGGGAAACTGCTTCTCATGCCATTAATCATCACTAGTGCTGTAGTGGATTAGTTCAGCCATTTCTACAACACACTTCTTACTACTGATAGGCTAGAACAGCTCAGTCTCTGACCTTGCCAGTCTTCGGGCTGTCTGTCAAAATGCCAAGAGGAAAGCCACCTCTAGGCAGCAGTGCTGAAAAGTTCTGATGCCTGCCTATTGGGAAAGCGTCCTTCTCACCTCCGGGACAGCCAAGTAATAGAACTGCTGAAAGTGCTCCTAGATTTCCATCCCTTCTGTGATCAATTCACACATATAAGCATTGTTCTTTGGGCACTTATATGCATTTTAAGATAAAAATGACTTTTTTCTATTTAGGGCAAATTTCTTTCCTTTGATAGGCCATGCCATGTTGAGGAAGACATTGTCATTCGACAACAGCACGCAGAGCACATTCAGCTCAGGGCAGGTCAGCCACGTGCTCAGAGTGCTTCTAAATACAGCTCCAAGGAAGAGCAACATAAACACACCCAGAGCTTGCTACATATGGTAGGACAGGGACACCAGAACATGATGGGGATGCAAATCACACCCAGGAAAAAAGAACAAGGCAAGACACAAACTGAACAATTCAAATGCTAGCCCAATGTGAATACAATATAAACAACTCCACTACACTGTCTTCATAGACTAGCACAGGCAGAGAAGGCCAAATCCTAAGCATCACTGGCATTCAGCAGAGGTCCACCTGATCTCTTTCTCTGCTGCATGGCTATGCATCCCTGTCCATTCCAACTCATAGGTGGGCAGGCAGCAGCCTGCCCCTGAACTCTGCTCAGCTCTATCTGTAACTCACCATCATCTGTAGGCACAGCTCACAAATTCTTGTCCAAATGCCATTAGTGCTCAGAAGTGATTTGTGCAGATTGAATATCCAGGTGGCACGAAGCAAAGATGCTAGCTGGCCAAAACATACTGTACTGCAACCACTTGACTTTACATCACTCGAAGAGATCTCATGATAAAAGTCACATTTATAGTTTGGGTTGGAAGGACCTTAAAGCTCATCCAGTTCCAACCCCTGCCACAGGCAGGGACACCTTCCACTAGAGCAGGTTGCTCCAAGGCCCTGTGTCCAGCCTGGCCTTGAACACTGCCAGGGATGGGGCAGCTGCAGCTTCTCTGGAAATGGTTGCCCTGGGTTTAATGTTCTGGCTTTCACATATCAAACTTTGAATCACCTAACATACATTTCCAGAAAAGAAGTTATTTCATCTGGGAATTGACCTAGAAAATTCAGCTGTCCTCCAGAGAACAACTGTGCCAAATTCAGAAATTAAATTCATTAAGTGTAAAAGAAGAAGCTTTAATTCTGCTTTAGGTGCAAAGCCTTTTTCAGATTTAAGTTTGGGAAAGAAACTTGCCAATCTAGCACTCCTAACTTAGGAGTTCTGGTAAATTCAGCCTCTTCTTTTCAACTAAGAGGTCAAAACAAGTAAAGAAAATCACACAGACTTAGGACTCCAGGTACTGTTAAGTCACACAACAAGGGTCGGTCACCTCCAAACCCAAATACTTGCATTTCCTAGTGTGAGTTGTTTTCTGAAAAAATGTTTAATTTTGAAGGATGGCTACCTAAAATTTCTGTGCAATTTGTGTTGATCTCACCTTTATCATCTTCCCTGTCAGGGAACAGCACTAAGTATTTGAAGGAAACTGAAACTACATCTCATTTTAAGAGACGTAATTCCTCTTTACTCCAATACATCAGTCCTTAACAGCAGGGCAATGTAATCCGCATGTATTACACAGCAGTGACCAGGTAAATCACAGTAATCCCAGTGATACGTCACATCGTTAGGGGTGAAAAATTAAGTACCTTTTTTTGGGATCTCACACAAAAATCTATCAAGATCCAGTGTGAACTTTGCTGGGGGGCTGCTGCTTCACTTGGCGCATGACAGGGTCTTGCTCTCCTTGCACTACGGGCCGCAGAGATGCAGCTCTGACCCACCACGGGGCAATGGCCCGTAAACGGGTGTCACACGGCGCAGCTGGGGTCGCGGTCCCGGTCGGCGGCGGCGGGCAGGGCCGGCTCCGCGGCTCACGGCGAGCCCTGTCCCGCTCAGCCCCGCCGCTCCCTCAGGCGAGGCGCGCGCGGGCCGCCAACGGTCGCCCCTCTGAGGCGCCGCGCACCCGCGCCGCTGTTGCTATGGCTCGACGGCGGGCGGCAGCCAATCAGCGGGCGGCAGGGTATATTTGTCGCTGTTGCTACCGCCGCGGCGGACCAATGGGGAGGAAGCAGGAAGGCGGGGCGAGGCCGCCATGGCGGTGCGGACCCGCAGCGGGGAGCGGCCCCCGCGGTCACCCGGTCCCGGTGCTGCCCGTGCCCGAGGCTGGGTTCACCCGAGGCCGCTCTGTGGAAGGAAACAGACGTAAACGTGTGCATCACAACCCTTCCCAGCACCGCCGTTCTGAACACGGCCCCTCCCACAGCAAGAACACGGCGCTGCCGGGGGGCCACCGGGGTTAAGCACGTATCAGGGCCTCAGAGCACACAGGTGGAGCCCGGGCAGCCGGTGCTGGGGTTTTAATACATAATTAAAATACCGCGTGGGAATTACCACTTCGCACCCTCACCTTGAAAAATGCAGCCTGCAGAAACAGTCATTCAAAACCTTTATTTGCTAACGTTATTGCAACAGGTACTGGAGGCGTCCACTTCGTGTAGCTCAGGGCTGGAGTTTCATTGAAGATTACCCCTTGTCCACTACAGATTTAAAACCCAGCAGTAACACTTAGGGAAAACAGCCCGAAGACAGCCCAGTGACTTGCAGCATTAAACTGCATCATGTGATGCTTCATGTCCTAATGCTCTCACACACAATTCTGCTTTGTAGCCTCTAAGAGAAAGGAAGGAAAACAGAGCTCCTGCTCCGTGAGCAACGTGAGGTGAAGGAGTGTAAGAGGTGCCTTGAGGCTGGGTGAAGTAAGGAAAGGAGCTGGGAGACAGGAACAGAGCAGCATGCACTCCCTGGGAGAGCCGCAGTTGAACAGCTCACCCCCGCCGAGTAAGCAGCCTCCAGCCTACACAGCATCAGCCCCACACTTACTACAGTGTGTAGGAAACTTGAGCCTGCACAACTCACGCTGCATTGCAGGGCCCTCATCTGAACACGATGGCCGCTGCCTGGTGCCAGAGACTGCCTGAGGGTCACACACTGGCCCTGGTAGTTTGTGTCCATCCGGATGTGGGCACTGACAATGGATCAAGAATTCAGCAGCTCCTACATCTCCATTCATCCTTCTTTCCTGGGCAATCTGAGATACAGGTTGCATTAAACACTGACAACGCTGGTAGGCCCTCCCCCTACTGCAAGAACATTGACTTCAGCACTGATAATTCTGCCAGTTTGTGTCACCTGTGATACTCTGGAGTACTGTACACTCCAGCAGTTACACCCAGCAGTACCACCGAGATGCAGGGATGAGAAATAGCAGTATTTTACCAGCACTAAGCTGATACTTTACCTTCCAGGCCTGAGAAAAAGTTACCCAATACCCACTGCCAGGCAATAAAACTCAGTTTTACTCTTTCTGAGTACAGGAGCTTCATTTACCTTCATCATGTAATGAACAACTCTGATCTGACCAGTGCTATGGGTAGAAATACTTAACCGCCACAGAACCAGCGACTTGATATTTTTAGCATCTGCAGTGCAGCTTCAGCCTGCTCTAGTCAAAACCTGCAGTCCACAATGCACCTTTCATGCCTTCTATCCTTTGCAAAACTCTTAACCAAACTGTAACAAAACCAAACTTTGCAACCATTACAACAGACCTTCATTATCTTTCTACCTCACTCTCTGTTCATCTCCATGCCAAGCCCCTCATTCATGCCAAAAAAAGTATGGGGAAAGGATGGGGTGTTTCCTAGGGAAGTGCAGACCACATTGAACATCTCTGCAGGCGGGTCACATTCGTCCACTGGCTGAGAATTCAAAGAGCAGCCATGCTGCCCAGAACGTGTCGTTGGTTAACGGGTTGCCAACCGGATCCTCCAGGACCTGAAAGACACAAAAAGAAATCAAAGCTTCACCACATGTGATCCTTAATGATGGCAATGCCCTTGCTCAGGGTAGAAAAGCTCCTTTGGGCAGAAGGGAGGGAACGTGAGTGGTGAGGGCTGCACGCATGAAGCAACAAAGTCTTTGTTCCGCTCTGAGATCAGATAGGGTAATCCATCTGTACAGGAGATGGTTATAAAGATGACAAGCACAATCAGTGCACAAATCAACTCTCAGTAATGCAGAGAAGAGCAATTCCCTTCCATTTGCCCAAGACACTGGCTCCTATAAAAGCAAGTAACTGACAGAGGGTAAGACCAGGATGAAATAAGGGAGTGATCACCTGAACAAGGGAGCTGCTTTCAGGGAAGGGAAGAAACAGATCCAAATTGCTTTTTTTGTTTTATTCTCATGTTGGCTCTGCTGGGATGCATCACCTATGAAACCAAATTGCAAGTCATGCATGGACAAAAGGAAGAGGACATCTGCACCCCTGTGATTCAGACATAGGAACCAAACACCTGCATATTCCTGCAAGAAGGCCAGGGCAAGCTGATTCAGCAAGACACAGAGTGCCTGAGAAGTCTGTAGAATGCTGTAAAATCACTTACCCACTCAAGCCCTTCCTCTTCCTGCAGCACACATTAAAACACATAAAAATTGCTTTTCTGAATTCCTCAACTTAAAAAAAAGATCCAAAGATGTCCCCTTTCAACATCTGCAGGCATCACAGGGTGTTTTGCTCCCCAGCCCATAAGGCACTGAGTGCCATGTTTTTATACCATTGCAAAATCAGTGCAGGAATGCAAAGTAGCAAGATGAAAACTAGCTATAGAGACTGCATGCTCTGGAAATGTAAGAAAAGGCTCATTCATTATTAATGCCCAAAGCTTTCCTACTCATCTGGCTCACATTATGGCTGGTAAAAAGGCCACTCTCCAAGATACAGATCTTTATATTGATGCTTTCAAAGGCTCGAAAGAGGTTCTGTTACTGCCCTCGGAGCTGCAGCCGCTTCCTGTAATGAGGCCAGCAGATATGGTCCCCTGCTTTTGAAAATCCTTTTAAGCAGCTCACAATGCAAGAGAAACAGAAATGGATGCTAACTGACTGGGAGACCAACACTCATGAGGCCAAAAAATAGCTCAAGGTACAGTTTAGATAAGGCTTTCTTGGGTACTATTTTAAAGACTTTTAATTCAAAGATGTGCTCGCATCCCCTTGAAAGCACCAGATTTCTAACTTCTATTCTCTACTGCCTTAAAATCACCATGAGAAGGCATGCAGACTGCATCCAGACCCTGGAAGCAAGTTATCATGTCCTATAATATACTGCTCCATACACTGCTATCAGCCATCTCGGAACAGTGCAAAATCCCTTTTCCTTATCAACCACAGTCTTAGAAATGGAAATTACATGAAAGACTTTAAGAGGTCTGAGAGGGCAGAGTCAAATTCTGCAGATCCCCGCAGAGCAGAGGGCCCTCAAGCAGCTCTCTTCCTATATCGTCTTCTTTCCACAGAGCTCTCCATTGCTCAAAACATAAACAGTACTTTGGATCTGTACAGGCTGCTTTAGCCATCATTTCAATGACACACTTGGTAAAATTAGCATCTGATAAGCAATTCAAGTGAAAAGACCAACAAAAGCACCTCTCCTTCTAGCGTCTGTGGGATACTACCCCAGGGAATGCCCACCCTGCTCTGAACTGGATTCCAAAGGTATGCTTTGATCAAACACCTTTGATACTAAATATGATACTTCACATCTCCCTTGTGAGAGCTACAGCTAGATGGTGCGTACAGGCCTGAGCAGCTTTTGCTGAACATTAGGTGTGTTCTCTCACCTGGCTTTGTCCCAAGGCTTGGCTTTCTTCCATGCAGGGTGCAGAAACAGGTGGACACTGAGGCTTGCCAAACACAGAGTGACAGTAACTACAAGAAAATACAATATACAAATGCATTTGTATTTATGCCCAACTCAGCACCTACTGTAATGCTTTGCAGCAGGACAAGAGGGGTTGCTGGCAAGACCATTCAGTCAAAGTTCTATTAAGCTGTCTGTAAAACTGCTCCATTTCTCAAAATTGTTACAGCCTGAAAATAGAGATTCTGCACGGGGAAGACTAGCCTGACCAGGAGCAGCACACAGGAATGACCTTCTTTTTGCCCCCAGAATGCCCCATAAACAAGGAGATGTCTACCAAAACATCTCTCTCCTGAAACATATTTGAAAAACACAGACCTTAAGAGTCAAAACAGGCAAACATTTAGCTTTAGACACAGCCACAACATTGGCTACCATTCTACAATAGCTTTTCAAGGCTGCCAGTCTGGGGACATGGCTTCCCCATCCACAAGTCCCCTGGGGCATTGCCAACCTCTCAGAAGAGGTCACAGTCTGCGGGCACTGGATCAAGTGGGAGACACTGGGTACTTGACAAAGGGATGTCCTCTCTGTTCATCACCAACTCAAAAGAATCTATAATTCCAACATCACTGCCCCCACCACTCCCAGGTATAGCCCAGGGTATGAAAGGCCATACAGGCCTAGACCAAAAGGTGCCAAGTAACAGAGCATAGGGAAAAAGCAGAAGAAACAAGGTAAGGGTCAACTTGCCATTCCTTGGAATGCACCGAAGGTTCCAGCAAGCAGTCTTGGGACTCCTCTGCTGGAGGCTGCATTTTGGCGATGCCATTTACTAATGACAAATGGACTCAAGCCCTTGCCCCCTCCTTCCCCCACCAAGAATGTCTGATCTCTTTTCGCAGCCCACTTACACTGACATGCACAATGCCCTTAGCAACAAGTTCTGTGATTTAATTATGCAACATGCCAAAAAGTAGCCTCCTTTTATGCTTTTTGAGCTTGCTGCCTGCCAGTGTCGGGGTGCTGGGTTATCCAGAGGGGAGAGCCTAACAGCAAGACTGGATCAGACTCCCCTGTCAGGCAGCAGGAGCAGATGGAAACAGTCAGCTTCCAGCCTGGTTCCCCCTCACACTCCCACCTCACAGCCCTGTAGATCATAAGAGGCTTGGATACAGCCCAAGTGCGTAGGACCAACAGTAAAGACCCCATGAAAGAAATCATCAGGAATTGTTCTAATGAGCTTTCAGGCCAAGTCCTTTCCAGGTCAGCACCTTTGAAAATGAGACAGGCAGATGAAGGGTCCTTGTGCTGACTTGTAGCTCTACCCCTGCAGTTAAGAAGCAAGGAGCCAGAAGTGTTGGCAGGGCAGTGAGAGCACAACACTGAGGCCACCCCCCTTGGGTGACCTTGGCTAAATAATTTCCTTTTCTGTGCTTTACTCTTGTCTGTAAACAGAGGTAACTTCACTGCCCTGTCTTTCCAGGATAGCAACACTCACTTGCCTTACAGTTTAAGCTCTTGCCTGATTCATGAGTCTCCACGTGAGTGATGCTCCTTACAACATTATTGCTAAAGAGGACTCTGGTGACACAATACTTTCTCTCTTATCAGTAACTCTGTTAGAGGCCTCTGCCTGATAACAAAGGTGATCCTTATTCACTGCCATTCACTGAGCCTTCTTCTTACTTAAGACTACCCACATGAGGTCTGCTGGCTCTTTGGAGAGAAACTGCGAAAGAGCCTAGATGAGACTGCAGCCTAGGCATCACTCATTTCCAAAGAGATCAGTGTTCCTTAGCATTCACAGTGTTCTGGGGAGTTAAAGGCTTTCTGGTTCAAGCTGGACCAGGCCACTAAACAGGGGTTATGAATAAGAGTTCAAATAACTATATCCTCCCCAGAAGGTGTCAATGAAGCAGCAAGTCCTGCCCCTGACAGGAATACGATAAAGGGTGTGTAGGTTCCTGGCACAACTGACATAACCCAACAAGGAGACATTCACCATAGATTTCTTCTGCTGGTGGAACAGATTTTAAAAATAAACATGAGCTCACTCTGGAGTCAGAACATGCAATTTTAAATCCAGCCAGAGCAGTGCCAGCAAGCCTCACTGGTCCTTTACGATCTGTAGCCACTCTTTGAAACTGCAAATCCTAGAACACGTACTGAGGTGGGTTTACAATGCCCTGACCTGGATTGTCAGTTCAGAGCGAGGAGCCTGACATGAACATGAACATCAAGCCAACCGGGAAACAGAGGTAAAAGGCAGAAATTATTTCAGCAGGGAACTGGGAGGCGAAACCCCACTGATCTTTATCTCCAGTGAATCACTGCCTTCCCTGGTTGCTTGACAAAACCTCTCTGCGCCTCTGCTTCCTCATCTCTAAAGTGAATAAAAGGAATAAAACTGCTTCTACCTACCTCTCTGACATATTACTGACAGCATCATGCTAGCACAAATGCTGGACAGTGTCAAGGCAGAAGGGTTGTGAAATGGAGCTACTGCTCCTGCTGTGCCTTTCAGATCAGTAAACTAAAGGAACCTCGTCATGTCTGTTTGGCAGTGTTTATTTTTATGTAACTTATGGGGGTTGTGTAACATATGGAAGATGGCACGGATTGCTGCTGGTTTGCACTCTCTGAATTTATCTCAAGTCCCAGAGAAAACCTACATTTATTAATAAAACATTTATTACAGGTGGAAAACAAAGACAGAATAGTGCCTGTCTTTCTGTCTTCCAGTTTGGAAAGCCTGCACTATGGAATAATCTGGTCATGAGGTTATGAAGCTACAAACACTATTTTAGGATTAAGTATGGGCCCTACCAACCCAGCCCACAGAATCAGCTCTCACTGAATCACTATGATTTTCTGCCAAAAAGAAAAACAGTCAAACAGCTTAGAAACTAAACCTGCTTTAAAGAGAGGGGTTCATTTATTTTCTGATCAGGTTGGTCTCAGATCTCCCTTGTGCCACCACCATAAGCCACATATACACTTATACAGCATTTCCCATTTCCAGTGCACAGGTAGAAGTATCTGCAAAACATGATGGACACAAGGAGAGCCAAGCCCCTGAAATGAGATGCATCACCACACTCTTTCTACAACCTTCTTCAACAGGGGGATGAGGACAAGGCTAACCCCATAGCATCACTGTCACTCCTGCCTTTAAGAAGCCCTGTGCTTTCCATTCCCTTTACCTGTGGGGAAGAACAGACTCCAGGGTCCCTAGCTGTCCTTCTCTAAGGATGAAGCTTTCAACCTCTAAATCTGACTGCTGAATGATTCTTCCTGAACTGGCCTCAATACAGCCACCTTGAGGGACTCTGCTCAAGGGAGCTCTGATACCTGCTGAAATAAATGTTCACATTAAAGACAGTTACAGAAAACATGACCCCAGCCTCTGACCCATCTATTTGTCCTCTCCTTGCTCTACATTCACAAGGGTTGGGTGAATGGCAGTCACAGTGGTTTTTGTTCTGCAGACCTACAGCAAAAGCAGGTGGACATCACTTACATATCCTGCAAAGGCTATTGTTAAAAACAGAAGAGATGGTGGGAATGCTGAACAAGACCAGGCAGGAAGGAAACAGAGAGGGAGAGAGAAAGAATAAGAGGAAGGAGAAGGGAAAGTGAGAATGTGTTGCTGAAGATGCAAACTGTGTCACAGTTAAGAAGTTCCCAGCCTGTGCTCAGGCAAGCTCTTGAGAAAAACCCAGAAGCTTGAAAACTGACAAGGTGAGCAAACACCTGAAGGGACTCTTGCAGTGGAAATGCTAAAAGGAATCCACCTTGCTGGAAAAATACTATCTTATGGAAACAGTTACAATTTAGGCAAAAGAGTAGGTAAGAATGTCTGTTTCAACACCTTAAACCGATGGGTTTTCTCACAGATACTATGGGAGCAGAACTGCAGAGCTCAAGTAAACCCTGCTGCCATTTGTCATGACACTGGAAACCCACGTAAGTGAGCAAGAGTGTTTACAGCAAAGGGAAGAGAAGCTTGAAAGCTCTCAAGGTCAATGATCTGGGTGCAGTTTTACTAACCTTCTATACTTGGGGTCCACATAGAGCCAGAGACTCCTCCGGTGCTGCAAGGGGCCTGCCACATGGCCAGCCGTTCATCTGGGAAGGTAAGGGATCCACAGGGGCACAGGACAAAGTTACCCAGCTGGGGGTTGGTATCAGCACTGCTTGCTGCTTCTCTGGCTTGCAGGACAGCAGGGTTAAAGCAGGTTCCTGGTTCCAGCATAGCCTCAGGGCAAAATGATACAGTTTGTTCAGTGCTGTGGGTGGTCAAGAAAGCCTTGTTTGTCCTCGCTTCATACAGCTCACTGCTCGGCATAAAGCTGTAATGGTGGAGAAAATGAATTAGCCAAACATACTGCTTTGCAAAGAGAGGCACCCACCAGCTAAACCTTTGAATCCTGCCCTTGATAGCTGGGAAGTTAACTGCTAGATGCTCTGACTGCCTGATGCTCAGCATGGACCATTCCCCATATATGGAGTCAAGACTCCTAAGTTATGTCTCCTGGGAACTGACATGAAAGTCAGTTCTATTAACAGCTTTAAACGTTGCTTCATCTCTGAACTGTCACTGTGAAGGCTTTTTCATACATCACCTGGATTCCAGCATCTTTAAATATGTTCCCTCAGGAGGCTTATCCAGATCTGCAGCTGACTGGTCCCACCCTGGGTCACAGGTCATGAGAGTTCTCTCCATTTGCTCAGAGCCGATGCCTACATAAGATCCATCTGAAAGGTGTGGGCCAGGCAGGTGAAGGAACACCAATAGTTACTCCAGAAAACAATGAAACAAGTCTAATTTGCCAAATGCAGCAAGACCCTCTTGTACTTCCTGACTGATATTTGGTCAAGATTCTGTGAAGGGACATGGCAATACTGGGTTTTACTGGACTACATCCCTGATCCCAGGATCTGAGCACTAAAACCTGCTGCCTTGCAGGTACTTGCTGTCAGTGCCCCTTCTGAGGCAGGCATCTGTTAGCCTGTTCTTGCACAGGCCCTATCAGTGTTTGCTTCTTCTATGAGTGACAGCCTCTAGACAAACAATGAGGCACTCCACTGAAGAAGATCTCTTCCATGTCCACTTGATCCATCAGCATATAGATGCTGTTCTGGAAAAGGAATACCCTTCCTTTCCTGAGGGAATTTAAAGCAGGTTTTCAGCTTTCTGGATCACATCCTAAGCCCATTAGCAAGAAACAAACCTGCAGTCTGTGGAGCATAGAATCCTCTGTCCTGCTGCTGCACTGTGGGATAAGCCAGAGCCCTCTCAGGACATGAGTTTTTTTGCTTTTCCATACGAGGGAGGCCGGATTTTTGACGCCGTCGGTAATTTGCAAACCAGTTGTAGACCTGAGTTGGCTGCAGGTTCATGTCCCGAGCCAGTCCCTCCTGCAAACCCATGTGCAGGGAGAGATCAATGGAAAAAGAATAAACCGCATCCAAATAATCAGGATTTCTTTTTTTTTCCAGTTCCAAAAGCAACAGAGCAAAAGAGCCTTAAACCCAGAGACATTTGATCACTAAGGCTCTGACAAGTGGATCCCATTGAGGAGACTGATTTGTAAACTCAAAAGAGTTGTTGGAATACATACATTCCCCCCTGCTCCCCCACTCAATTTGTCTGCTAAGAAATAACCAACACAACCAAAACAGCCCCATCTACTGCTATTTTATATTGCTATATTTGAATGGAAAACCTGACCGAAGCATGCTCTTCCCACAGAATGACAGCTTTGCATCACTACCGTGACACTAACAGGATGAACACTAATGTGTTTACCACATTACAGAGTTTCCACAAACTGTAAGCAGCATAAACATCTGTATCACATTCACAGAAAAATGCCTGCTGTATGAAACTGCTAAAGAATGAGATCACGTAAGTGAAGAACGTATTGGGAAATTAATGCATAAGTGATCATTGTATCCTGACCTTTTAGGACTTAACCGTGCAACCTCATTATGCTCCCAAACCAGATTGCGGGGGGCTTTTTTAATGAACATTTCGAAGTTGTTGCTGCTTTGTGAAATAAACCAACTCCACGCTGCAGAGCTGTTCCCCAAGACATCCTGCCTTATGTGAGAAGGGTGCTGGAAAAATTGAGCACCACAGAGACAGACTTGACAGTCTGAAGCCCTCACCTTGCGAGGGAGTAATCAACAAGGATTACTGAATTAATTCACATGTCACTTCCATTACAGATTTATCCTTGTTCAAATAAGGAAGACAGATGCAGACATGAACACAACTTATCACGTTTTCAAATTCTGTGAATTTAATGTGATAAGGCAGTATAAAATATATTCTGGTAAGCAAAAAGCAATTTAATACAGGCTATAACTCACTCAAGTCAGAACTATTTATCACTCTAATACAGCTCTTCTGAGTGATGGCTGTTTTGCTGCCTATGCTGAACCACTACCAAATTAGAACTGTTAGAAGCTTAGTGAGGAACTTTATATCTCCTGATCATTTTGTCCAAAGCAAGTGAGATTACTTAGCATGAACCCAGTGACTCTTTTAAGGAAACCTTCAGGAAAAGATCAAGTCTGGGGAATCCCAGCCCCACTGGGGCTTTAGAAAACAGGGATTTAGAATGAAATCAGTTCTAGACCCCTGATCACAGAGTTCTGCTTCTCTGTGACAAGGAGACTTGGTTAGAAGTAGCATATCCCTACCCGCTGTTTCTTGTTTGGATTTGTTGTCACCTCTGCAGCAAACCTGTGCAGTTGCTGGCGCACTTCATCTGAATGGTTTCGATTCTTCAAACCTTCAGGACAAAGGGAAATAGGTGGAGGATTCCTGTACACAGGAGAAAACAGGATTAAAAAATAACCCCAGAAGTCTCGTTCACATTGCCACAAGTGGTCAAACCGTCAAGAACCACCTAGCTCTGAGAAGCAGCATCCTGAGGTGCAAAACCAGCCTCTGCATTTCTATGCCCTGCATCTACCAGATACAGCAAAGAAAAATGAACCTGTTCCCCCACACCATGGTACCTCTTCCTGCAACGGAACTTCTGCAGCGGTGTCAGAAAATCTGTGTGATGTTGCTCCATTACCCTCCGGTAGTGAATCTCATGCCAAAGTTGCACCAGCTTCTCCTTCTGTTCTGCCTTGCTATACTAAAACCAAAACAGCATGTAAGCAAACTCTCTCCAGGTAGTCAGCCAGGCTTCCTGTAAAGGAGAAAACCCTCAACAGCCAGAAACTTACTCAGAGGTTCCTACTAGCCTGACAAAGCTGGTAGCATTATCCAAGTCTATGGCTCCCTGAATTTCCTCTAATGTACAGAAGGAGTTGCCTAATTCCCCTTTTCCCTGGTGAAAAGGGCTACATTACCAGATCTAGAGGCCAAAATTCCTCCCCTTGAGTGGTACCATCCAGCCTTCCTCATTATCTTCCCATCCTGGATGCCCTCTAGACCTGGCTTCCCCAAGGCTTTTACATCCTGAGCCCTAAATTTGTGAAAAACTCGAAGAACCATCCCTTTAGAGAACAAAAATCCTGCTTTCACAAACTACAGCCAACCCCATAATCACCCAGTTACATTCTGCCCCTTGGCTGATTAATAGTAACTGCCTGTAGCAGTTTTTATCTTGCATTTCAGGTGAACCAAAGCACACCTATCACCTTCTGCTGCCGAATGCCAGCTGGAAACACTCCATGTCCTGCTGTTTGGATACTTCTGCACTAACAGCTCTAACTGCTGTTTTTCTAATACTCCTTTTGCCTGCATGAAGAAACAAAGAACAGTTCCCTACCTCCAGCAGTCTGCAGGCTGTGTCATGCTGCCCTTTCTGGATATGAACAAACACGCAAGCTTGGACAACATGGATGTTAGTGAGAAAATACATCTTGTGCTTGCATCCCATCATGGCCCCAACCAGCTTCTCCAGACTAGGAAATGAGCTCTGGAGATCCTGGCAAAGCTGTCCTGCTAGATCCAGCAGCTTGGCAGGTGGGGGATCCTTGTTTTTATTCCTGTTTAACATGGCCATGAACCGCTTCATCCTTATGTCCTGTTGAAAGACTTTTCTATGCAATGCACAAAGTTGTGAGTTGTGGTTAGATAAAAACTATTATCTCCCATTTTTACATTCCATGGTATGCTTGGAGTTTTTGTTTTAATAAAGGGAAGAAATTTACTGTGGTGTTAAAAGCAGTCTGGGGATCTCAGAACACTCACAACTAGGCCTAAAGCAGCCTGAAAGGGTAAAGCCACCCCAGGCTTGTGGCTGAGAAAACTGAGCTCAGAAAGACACATCAAACTCGCCCCAAAACTCGGTGGCTGAAGGAGGAACTGCACACAGGGGTGGGCCCAGCCGTTCCCGCTTGAGTCCCCGAGTGGCTGGGAACACCGGGGGTGCTGCGGAAGTGCCAGCATTGGCCATGCCGCTCAGAGCCCAAACCTCCATACCCAGCTCCCCACGGGAACAGGTTAAAAACTACCAGAGCACAAAGTCTAGAGACACTCGAGTGAAATTAATGAGCTTTCTTCTCCAAAATGGCACGGGACAGGGGCAGGGGCAGGCGGCAGTTACAGCAAAGCGTGACTCCAATGGGTGCCGGAGCTGGTGTTCGCTCGGGGAAAGGATGCCTGTGCCCACCGGGTCCCCTTGGGCACTCCCAACCCCTGGACCGCTCCAGCCCCGCCGGACAAAAGGAGGAAGAGCTGGTAGATACCTGCGAGGTTGAGGAGCGGGTTCACCCCGGCAGCCCCGTCCCGTTCTGGCCCGTCCCGAGGCAGCGGCCGCGCCAGAGTCCACCCGGTCCCGGTCCCCGTCCTCCGGTGCCCGGAGGAGAGCGGCGGGGCGCGGGTCGGCCTCCCCCTGCCTCCCTCCCTCCTCCCGCCCCGCCAGGCCCCCACCTTGGGTGCCGCTGCCCAGCGGGGGGCGCGGAGCTGCTCCCGCCCCGTCCGGCTGCTCCACACGCTGCTGCGGCCACCTGCACCGCAGAACCGAGCGGAGAGGGCAGCAAAGGGGTTTTGTAGTAGAGAGTACGTGTTAAGATGCTAATGGAGCTCAGACATGCACTGTTACCCACCTTCTCCAGGAGGGTACTGCCTAACAGCGCAGCAGTCACCCAGACTCAGTGTAGGGGATAAAACTGAAGCAGCTACGATTTGTCCTTCAGTCAGGTCCAAACACCGCTGTGAGTATGCCCGCCCCCTGCTGACCTCAGCGTACCGAGGACAGGTAACAACACTGAGGATCTCGGAGCGAGTCAACAGCCGCAGTGCATAGCGCTACCAGGGGCCGGATGTGAACCCACCCTTAACCCACACTTCAGTAACCAGCTCGTGCCAAGTCCATGTGCCATACCTGACCTTGCTCTGCAAAGACAAAGGCTACATACTGGAGTGGAGGCATCTTCCTTTTGCTACATGCAGATACATCCTAAAAGTCTGCTCAGAATCCTTTTTGTTACTCCCATCAGCAGCATCTTGTGTTCAATTGTCCGTGATTTCTCCTTACACTTGGAAGCTGGCCATGCGTGACAGTAACTGCCTTCTTGCTCTGCTGCATGACACTGTTCTAGATCCACAGCTGGAGGCAGAAAGTCCAGATACTGCTGAACTTTGAGCATTCCACTGCCATGCTGGAGATAAGCAGCAGTATTTCCTTTTGGCAGTTATTCTCCTTTACTCCCTGATTTTGTACTGCTGTCTGCAGTTAAAACAAAACACCATGTCACTCGATTTTCTGCATTTTTACTTATTTACATGTATGAAACTTAACAAGCGTCTCTCACATTTTATCTTACATATTCACACAATCAGGTACACCTCAAAAGGGAAAGAGGCAGGCTGCTGCCAGGCACATCAGATACCAATCACTTCCAACGACGGTAAGCTACTACCATCACACTGGGCTGAATCTGAGCGCCCTTGAAAACCGTTTGCACTCTCCTTCCTTTACCTCTGCTCTAACACAAATTTTGGCAATCAAGGACTGCAGCTACTTGAAACCAAGCTGAGGTCAGGTGATAGATATTGGCAAGCCAACAGCTCAGATTCTTTTTCCAAGGGCTTAATCAAGTTCTGTTGAATATCAACAGCAATATTGATCAGGTCCTCTTGGAGCCTCAAGATGAATCTAACAGAGGCTCTTTTCCAGTCATCCTTCACCTTTACTTCCTTGCCACAAGGTAAAACTTCTAGCTGTCTCCCTAAGAGATACACCCCTATTTCACGGAGCACTTGCATGCATCTTATCCAGACAATCAGTCCAGAACAGAACAAGCCGGCTGTCTTTGTTCCAGCAGAAGTCTGTGAAGTCTTTCAGCAACCGGTCAGCAAACTTCTCATCCCCGGTGGCACTGGAGCGCCACGTTTTCGTCAGCATGGTGTTGTAGGCCCAGTTGTAGCCGATGCGCTCCTCACAAAACATGTTCTGGTTGGTGGAGCTCGTGGAGTTGCGCCGGCGACGCTGCTGCCCACAAGAAAACTTCCGCTTGGAATACGGGAGCTGCAAAAACACTGTCCCTGGGGGAAACAGACAGGACTTTACTCTTAAGCACCTTGTAGCTGAACTAAGCGTCGTTTCATTGCCTCTTAGCAAGAGAAAATGGGATACACTTCTCCTCCTTTGCTTTTACGTGCTATTTCTTCCTGCAATTTACAACGCAGAGAGCACACTTGTTCTTGCCTTTCTCCTGGTAGATGGGAATGAAGCAAAGATGCAGGCTCCAATCCATTTTCTAACTTTACATCAATTTCCATCTCTCCTGTAATTTTCCAAAAGGTCTCTTCCCATCATTGTTTTCATGCATCAGCAACCCCTCTGAAAACACTGTTGTTTTACTGTAATATGCCATGCATGAAGCTTAGTTAGAAGTGCTGATAGATCAACATTTATGAAGAACAATAATGAAAGCAAATGCTTTCTCTATCTCCCCCCCCAGTGTACATTAGTAGAGATGCATCTACAACTGAACTTAAGCATGAGAACAGAGCACTGACTTGTTCCAACACCTTTCCCTCCTTCCAGCTTCTAGATACCCATTTATTTACACTGCACTTGGAACAAGTTTTGCCTTTTTTATTTTTCCATCTCCTGGAAAGAAATGCTTCAGAGACACTATAAAGCAAGACTTCAACGCCACTGATGAGCAGCAACACCTTGCACTTTCCACACTGCCTCTCTGGTTTGATCTGGCTGATACACCTACTTGTCATGTGACCAGGGACATAATGAGGACCAAAGCACTAGCATAAAACACAAACTGCATGTAAAATGGTTCTTCTGTTTATAACAGCCTCCTCCTTACCCCAGTGACTGCCAAACATTGCTCACCTGTGACATGGATATACTGGGGCTTGTTCTCAGCTGGGAAGTTGAATGCAGAGGCCGAGTATTTATCTTGCACAAATCCAAATCTGGAGAACAAACACCAGGAGAATGAAAAAGAAATATTTCATATATATATACACACACATATATAGATATGTAAAAGAGTCACTCCAGCTAGGATTCCTTCAGCCCAAGGTAGGGTCAACCTTCCCCTGTCACTTATGGCCCCTTTTCTTATGGCCTGAAGGCAAGGGGAAAAGGGATGAAGAGAGCTGGGCTTCTCCAAACACCCTCCACCCTGCCAGGCACTGTGTGAAAGCCTGTAACTGCACACTGATCTCTGTTCTAACTCATGCCGGAAGCAAGAGCACCAGTAGCTCAGTCTGGGAGCTCTGACGAAACAGGGCAGCTGCACACGGATGACGGAACAGTGACAGCCAAGACTGACATTCCTTGGGCATGTTTCAAGCTGTAACATCATTTTCTTCCGTGCCAGGCAATATTCCATGCAGAACTTCAAGCAGCTCACCTGATCGTTCTCTGCTGTTTGTAGAATACCTGTTCCTCTCCTGCTTTCTAAGCTAATGAAAGCTTATTTCCAAGCTAAAGTCCATTACAAAAGGCAGTTTCTCTGTCATGAAAAAGACCTTGGCAGCAATAACATGATACAAACTAGCAGCTCAAGCACACAAAGGGGGCTAAGCTCCTGCTCATGCTGCATGACAGTTCTAGATCTTCAGCTGGAGGCAGAAAGTTCTGGATACTGCTGAACTTTGAGCATTCCATTACCATGCTAGACATAAGCAGCGGTATTTCCTTTCAGCAACTGTTCTCCTTCTAAGTTTCCAACAATTCCTTCTTAAACCAGGCAAAACCTCCTGGTATCCAGCTCACATCCCAGTCTCCTGCCTATTGTCAATCATTGGTTGTCATCCAAATCAAGACTGGGTAAGTACACATGAAGGAAGTAACTATCCCTTCTCAGAAAGGAATCTATTTACAGACTGTCTGCTTCTAACTTAAAATAACAGGGCACCTTCCAAAGGCAATGCCCTCCCTACAAGGAGAGTATGGTTTACTAATGAGTGACAGGCTGAAACACTATCTACCTGCCCCTTGCACCCACAGAGCCACCTCCAGGCATTCTAGTTATATTTTTGTCAAATAACCTGCAAGCAGACTTCAGAGAGGCAGACAGCACAGAACCCACACGACTCAGGAGTGACAGCTCAGCAGAGATCTTCCCCCTGCATCATCCAGGGAGACAGGAACCTTTCAGTCACTCTGCTCTCTACATACCTGTGCGCTATTGCTTCCTGAAGGAGGTGCATACGGTCCCAGTACGTTTCTGGTTCAAAGCCTAAAACAAACAGAAGGTCACAATTGCCCAGTAAAGCTGCTTTATTTCCTTCAAGACCACAGTTTTCCTCAGAAGACCTGTTTTTAATAATAATTTCTTTTAGTCACTTGTTTTCCTGTCAGCTGTCCCTTGAACACCATCCTATTAGAGACATGTCTTGCACACTCCAGTAGCAGATTCATGCCTGAATTTAGCTTTTCATTTAGCTCCTGAGATGAAGGGGAACAACATAATGGGGTGTGTGGGAGGGGGCAAGGAGGGGGAGCAGGCTGTTGTGTGTCACCATGAAGTGCTCTGAAAATAATCGTTCAAAGTCAGTGGGGTTATGGTGATCTCACAGCACATGGCTCTGTCACTGACTGATTTACACTGACAAGACACCTGTAACCCTGGGCACTGGGTTAATGAAAATAAACTATCATCTTTACTATTTTAAAACAGAGCCTTTTCCCAACTGTCCCTTCTCACGATGCACTTCTGCCCCTCTCTGCATGGGGATAGAGCTTTCTGATCTCTGAGCTTCCACCTGACCAGAACAGCATCACTCAAAAGGGGCAAAGTCACATTGCAGAAAAAGAGACTGCAGTTTCTAGCTCTTAATCTCATGTGCAAACACTCTTACCACGAATGTAACCATGGCAACAACAACAAAAACCCAGGAGGATGGAAGTCGTGAAAGCCTAATCTCACTGAAGGGAGAACAAACAAATGCTGGGTACAATTGCAGAGCAGCTGTGGGCAGGGTCTACCAGCAAAACAGACTCTTACAATGTGACATCCTGTCAAAT